GGATGCTCTTCTCCGCGCGCTTTGGGAGCAGCTGAATGAAACCAAGTGGGAGAAGATCAAGGAGAGGGAGCAGGAATACGTCACTGATGCCTTTAATGATTTAACCATGGAAGATACCCCGGAGGAACAGGAAGAGGAAGAGGAAGAGGAAGACTACGAGGACGCCGAGGAAGATGCTCAGCGCAGCGAACATTACGACAGCGACGAGGAGGAGGATGATGTTGAGACCAAGGACGAGGATGGCAACGTCAACTCCCAGCTTGCTGTTGGCTACAAGCACGATCGCTCTTTCGTCGTGCGCGGGTCTAAGATTGGTGTCTTTAAGCACACGGCAAACAACAATCTTGAATTCTCCACCAACATTTCCAAGGTCGAGACCCCTAAGGGCACACTGTTCAGCCCGAAGAAGGTCATGCTTCACAACGAGGATCGCAACATGATCTTGCAGAACGAGCAGGACCCCAACAAGCTCTATCGCATGGACCTCGAGTATGGGAAAGTTGTCGATGAGTGGAACGTTCACGAGGATATTCCCGTCCTCAACTTCGCACCTGAGAACAAGTTCGCCCAGATGACCCATGAGCCTACTTTCCTCGGTATCTCGAAGAATGCTCTATACCGTGTCGACCCTCGTTTGTCCGGTACCAAGCTGGTCGATTCTCAACTGAAGCAGTATGTCTCCAAGAACGAATTCTCGTCCATCGCCACCACCGAAAAGGGCTACATCGCTGTCGCTTCTAACAAGGGTGACGTCCGTCTCTTCGATCGTCTGGGCATCAATGCCAAGACTCACATTCCCGCTCTTGGCGAGGCAATCCTCGGTCTGGATGTGTCTGCTGACGGTCGGTGGGTGCTCGCCACCTGCCGGACGTATATCTTGCTCGTCGATGCGCTGCAGAAGTCGGGCAAGAACGAAGGCAAGCTCGGTTTCGAGAAATCCTTCGCCGCCAACGATAAGCCCCAGCCACGCCGTTTAGCCCTCACGCCTGAGCACGTTGCTCAGTTTGCCCATGAGACCAGCAAGCCGGTGTCTTTCACGCCGGCGCGCTTCAACACTGGGGAGGGTACTGAGGAGACGAGTATCATCACCGCCACCGGTCCGTATATCGTCGAGTGGAGTTTGAGGAAGGTGCTTCGCGGCGCCAAGGCTGCCTACCGCATCAAGCGCTACTCCGAGGAGGTCAAGGCCGATGACTTCAAATTCGGAACGGACAAGAACGTTATTGTCGCCCTGCCCAACGAAGTTAACATGGTCGGCAAGCAGGGTCTCAAGCGACCCACACGCGAGAGCATTGCCGGTAACTTCGCGCAGCTCAGCATGGGTCGCAGGGACTCTGGACGTATCGGCACACCTAGAAGCGGCCGTTATAAGCTCGGCAAGGAGGACATTGTAGCTTCGCCCTACTGAGAAGGCTCCTGCGGGGACTTTGTTATGTTCTCATGCTTATGGTTTGATGCTGAACGGGTTTTTTTCTTCTTCAACGAGGGCGTTTTCCAGGTTTCAATTTGCGCTACGCAATGATAGGGGAACAGAAGGGGATGGAGGTTAGGATGGAATTACAGCACAGCACGTCACCCTTTTCTTCTTGCTTTTACTTCCGATTCTGAAGTGTTTGTTTGATTCAAGTCAAAGATAGATCTCTCAATCCCAGATATCTCGAGACACCTTCCGTACATACACGAGATCCCAGCGAATTGATTTGGTACTTGACACGTTATATAGGGCATGAACAATAGCCAGCTTTTCCAGATAGAGCAAAGAGCCTCTGGTTGATGATCGATGATCGATGTGCGCTGGATTTTGCGAGACCGCTTTGCTTACGGGTCTTGCAACACCCTAAGATGGGGACTCAGATGGTAACTGGAAGTCGACCAGATTGGGCAGCTAGCCACGAGGTTTCAAGCAGACCACGCCCTGTCAAGTTCGGCCCGTCTTATCTGGTAGTGGGGTTACACATTTGTCAAATAAGTAGATAGTCTAATGCTGAACCCAAACGTGGACTCGAAATACGGATGGCCGTCATGTACGACACAACTCCCCTTCTTGTGTGAACCGGTCCGTAAGCTCTTCTGCCCTCGGTTAATGAAATAACAACAGCAACAATGTAAAACATCCCGTAGAACTCCGCTCCCACCGGCTTGATGCCTTGTGCCTGAATGATGATGATGTCGTCTCGCTGCCTTTGCTTCCCGTGCCCTTCAAACGGCGTGGTTTGCTTGCAGGCTGAGTGACGTAGCGAGGTGGGTATGGTTTTTTTTTTCTTCATTCCTCTTTTCTTTCTTTCAATCATGCTTTCGTCAAAATGGCTGTCAGAGACGACGCCTCCTGCAAGGAAAGTCAAGACGAAAAAAGATGTGTGGTATGCAAGTCGGATGCACAGCAGCCTTTATGCTTCTTGGTTCTCCTGCTTCGTTTCCTGCTTCGTTTCCTCTGCGCCGTCCTTGCCCGCAACTTTTGAAGCCCCCTCGATTGCGCCTTGCAGCGCCTTGGTGACCTGGCCAACCACGTTTCCGCTGATGTTCCTCAGCGTCTTGGGCTGCATCGTCTCCTGGGACAGACGCGTCATCTCGGCGACAAAGGACTGGCCCCACCACGAGGATGTGTACTTGAACACGTAGCGCTCAAGCTTCTTGTAGTTGGTCTCGCGCTGCTCCGGGGACATGGTAACGGCGTCGTGGATCGCGTTTGCCAGCTCCTCCGTGTTCCAGGGGTTGACGATGAGAGAGCCGTTCAGGGACTGAGCGGCACCGGTGAACTCTGACAGAATCATGACACCGTGGCGCTCGCGCTGGGTCGCAATGTACTCGTACGAGACCAGGTTCATACCGTCGCGGGTGGAAGAGACTAGACAGACGTCGGAGACGGCGTACAGAGCTGTGAGCTCGTCGAATGAAACACTCTGGTGCAGGAAGTGGATGGGCATGAACTCGATGGTGCCGAACTTGCCGTTAATGCGACCGACGAGCTCGTTGACCACGGCGCGCAGGTTCTGATACTCCTCGACGTCCTGCCGCGAAGGCACGGCAACCTGGACCAGCACAATCTTACCGATCCATTCGGGGTGTTCCGTCAGGAAAACTTCCAGGGCATGAAGCTTCTGCGGGACACCCTTGATGTAGTCGAGACGATCAACACCAACGATGAGTTTGACTCCATTGAACTTGCGGGTCAGGGCCTCGATTCGCTCCTGGACCTTGGGCTTCTTGAGACCCTCGACAAACTTTTCCGGGTCGATACCAATGGGGAATGCGCCGACAGTAACGAACTTGCCATTGTAATCGACTCCGTTGGGGGTTGTCGGCGTTCCACTGGGGGCAAGTCAGCAAGGGACTAGAAGGGGCAAGGTTTCGGACTGGCCTTACAGAATACGAGAGCAACTGCTCAGGAAGTGGCGAGCGTAGTCGTAGGTGTGGAAGCCGATGAGATCGCAGTCGAGTACGCCGGTCAGGAGGGCCTCGCGAACAGGCAGGATACGATAGATTTCGGAGGAGGGGAAGGGTGTGTGCAAGAAGAAGCCGATCTTGACATTCTTCTTGGTGTTGCCGATCTCCTCGCGCAGCATCTCTGGCAGCAGCATCAGGTGGTAGTCGTGGACCCAGATCAAGTCGCCATCTTGGACGTCCTGAACAACGGCCTTGGCAAACAAACGGTTGACTTCACGGTAGGCGGCCCACGCACTCTCGTCGAATGTAATTTCACCAGGATGGTAGTGGAAGAGCGGCCAGAGGATAGAGTCTATCGGAAGTCACTCATTAGCACGGGTTAAAAGAAAAAAAGGGCCCGAGGAGTAGGGGAAGGTCGTCCGTACTGGAGAAACCGTTGTAGTGCTTGTCGGCAAGCTCGTCATCAATGAAGACGGGGTGGGCGTCGTACTCGTCCTTGAGACGCTGCTTCATGCCGGCAATCTCGTTCTCGGGAACCTCGAGACCTGGCCAGCCGTACCATTGGAAGCTAGTGGTTTTTGACAGACCGCTCAGGCCGGTGACGAGACCACCAGAGGACATGGAGAAGGAATAGCTGCCATCTTCGGAACGCTTGATGGTGATGGGCAGTCGGTTGGAGAGCAGCAGGAGGCGTCCGGGCGCGGTCTCTTCGTCGACGAGCGAAGGCATCTTGGACGATTTGCGCGACGCGATGTAGTGGTGGAGGTTGTTCGGTGGGAGAGGAGGCGAAATCTTCCGCGGAGCGTTCGTTCGTTCGTTCAAAGAGCGGAAAATGGGGGAGCACGGCAGCTAAGCTTAGTGGTGCTCTGGTGGGAGGGTACTGTGTTAGCTGAGTTGGGCTGGGATGAGCTTGCTTGCGGGGAATGGAGGGGTAAATGTGAGGAAGTAGGCGATCAAGTAAAGTACCTACATGAAGCTGAGGTAACAGCGACGCAACAGGTGTGCAGGGGGTGGACTGCGGGCTACTTGTATGCGGAGAGGGTGAGACGAAATGGCAAACAGTGCAAGTTCACGTTCGGTCGGACAAGACACAAGAGAAGAAGAGAGGAAGAAGAGAAGATGGGGGAAAGTTCCTAGTAAAAGCAGAAAGATGGAGGGAGACGGAAGACAGGCGACTAAGTGGTGGTTGGTCGTTTGGTTTGTTGACACTGAGAGGCGTGGTGCTTCTCAATGGGCCGGGGCGGAACGCTTAGGAGACAGAGAACGGCGAGGAGGGTGTCGAGGACGCAGGAAGATGCCAATCCAGCCCAGAATACAATTGGGTCTGATCCGGCCCAGACCGCAGACCGGCGGTACCTATCCAGTGTACCTATTGTAGTTAGGTAGTGTAGGGTGACAGTCTCCAGACAAATAGACAGACAGACAGACATCCGACCCAATGGATGTGACGCTGAAGCTCGGGTTCCCCAGAAGTAGAGGTACTTGAGATGGAACCCGCTTCGGCAAGGCGACAGAAGAGAAGTGAGTACTCGTTTGTTTTTCAATAATAGGTGGTTCGTCTTGTTTTGGCGAGAAAAAGAAAAAAAAAAAAAGGCTAGGATGAACAGACAGGCAAAGCAGCGAGTTTCTGTGCTGGGACTGCCTTACACAAGAGGACGGCCTGCTGCAGTGCCATCTACGTAATTCTTGGCCCTTGATCCATGTCCTGTCGCTGCGAGAAAAGCCCGGCCGGCCCTGCCACCTTTTGATGGTGTATTCCTTACCATTTCTAGCTTTCGTGCATGACTGCTTCCGGACACCTCCGGTCCGCGCGCCTGTGCAGCCCTTCGTCTTTGGTATATACCTGTATTGCTCTTCATGTTGCCGACCACCCTGCCGGAGAAATAGACAGTCTGACCGAGGCTGTAGGGTGAGCGATATTCTTTGCAGGCCCGTTGAGCCGAATACCCCTCAGCTCTTAGCAGCACAATGGGTGCAATGTTACGTAAGATTCCTAAACTACCTACCGGTAGGTAGGTAATAAATGGTCGAGGACATGATAGGTATCGGTACATGAGGGACCTTGATGTCGCCCGCCAGGCAGTGGGGATTCGGCGCCGAGGAGTGGGCACTTCACCGGCGGTACGTAGTGCGTCAGAGGAGAGAATGTTCACGATGTCTCTTGAAATTTTCCTTCTTTCCTTTCCATCCACCGACTCGACGCTCCACCGGCCGACGCAAGGATGATGGCGCATCATCTGCGAGGCCCATCCATCCCTGTAATGAATAGTGGCTACTATGTATGTTAGTATGGATACAGAAGAAGCACTCAACATCTTCAATTCTGTTTGAAAGGCAGGCGGCTTGCGGACATGTTTAAGGCTTCGTGGTTTCGGAGGGCTGGCTTAAAACAATCCGTCTGGTTCGTACACTGCACACACACACACACACACACACACACACACACACACACCCACATGTTCTGCTTTCCCTTCTGAGCCTGAAAAGAGAAGGAAAGAGCGAGCACCTTGCATGGATTCACACGAAAGACGTCCCACATACCCGTCTCCGTGGACCTACGTAGTTTACAAGCCCAAAACGGGGTCACATATTCGTCAGGTGATGGATGCTCCGTTGAGCGACGCAACAGTGCCGTCATTCTTCATCCCAGAACCATAGTATGAAAGAAAAAGTGGCAGCAACTCCCTTTTCACTACGGATAGGGGATTCCAAAAAGAGCCCCAGCCCCGGCTGCACGACGTTTGGACGGGCCTGACAGCCTTTGACTGTTGCGACGTCCAATGGGCATTCATTTAAGCGTCAAAAGAGCGCTCCAGCCCAATCGTCCAGCCCACAAGTCTAGAGAAGACCCCCGTTTGGTTACCGCAGACTGACATGGGATGCCCCATAACGCCCCGGACCAAAATGTCCTTGACCCGAACAGGAGCGAGTGGCCTTACATAGTAGGGCGACGTTGAGGTTCGATTCATCAAGACATTCTCGATTCCAGTTGAGCAACACCGTGGGGAATGCGTCCCCATCAACAGCACAGTGCATCCGTGTGTGTACAAAGCCCAAACAACTCCACCCTCTATCTTGTGTTTTCCGATGGAGCACCGGTAATTCCTCTTGAATAGTTGCTTCTTGGTTTGCCTTGGCTTCTTCTTCTGCGCCGAATTGCTTTCCAAATTGTAATAATGAGATGCCTATGCGGCCTGTTTTCCCCGCGCCGCACTCAAGAAGCGCTTCCCCGGCGGGTTGGCATCCAATGATTGCTGTTTTGGATTGAGACGAACAGCGATAGCATCGCATCTATCGGCGCGCCGGGGCATTCGATATTCACCAGTCTCCTCCCGCCGCTGTTTATGTGAGGCGCTCGGACCAAAGGCGAGGTGGACAGGCGCCCAGTGGCTGCCGCCCCACTCCGCATAGGTCGGTCGTAGCTTGTCTCTACGCCTGCCCGCGTCGGCTTCGTTGTTTGCGCTCCTACACTGGCCCTCGACGCGTCTTCAACCGCGACAGAGCCCTCGAGCTCTTGCAATTTCCCGTCCATCTCGTATCCCCGCCAACTCCGATCAAGTCCTCATATTCCACGTAGAGCCGCAATCAATATCCAGCCCAATTCATAACCAGAGCCAGTCCATCCTTGTCGTTCTGTGAAAGCATGGCCCCGTCGAACGCGAAGCTCGAGGCGGCGCTTCTCGACGCCGTCCGCAACGTCTTCCAGACGGATTTAGACAACCTCACCGTGAACTTCATCCGTAAGCGCGTAGAGTCGGATCTTGAACTTGAAGATGGATTCTTCTCCTCAGGAGAATGGAAGGATAAGAGCAAGAAGCTCGTTAAAGAGCTTGCTGTAAGTGATCATCTATCTTTGATACGCGCACACCGTTATCCTTGGTCCCCCGCCTGACTTATGCCGGATCAGACCGCTCTGATGGAGGGCAATGCCGATCCCGAGCCAGAACCCGCGGAAGAGAAAGATGGCGCGAAGCCGAAGAAGACCGGCAAGCGCCAGTCAGCCGATACATCACCACCCGCAAAGCGTCGAAAGCGTCCATCTGACGAAGATAGCGACTCGGAGAGTGAGAAGCCCAAAAGCAAAGTCAAGGCCAAGGCCAAACCGAAGAAGAAGCCGGCGCCGCGTAAAAAGAAGCAGGACACTCCTGTGGTCGACTCTGAATCAGAGCCGAGCCCCGCCGAGCCGAAGCCATCGAAAGCTCGTAACGGACGCGCGAGCAAGACCGAAGACAGCGGCTCGGATGACCTGAGCTCGCCGCCGGACAGCGACGAGGAGATGGTCGACAGCGAGAAGAAGAAACCAGAGGATGAAAAACCTCAGGCGCCCGAGGAGGAGGTCAAAGTTTCTGTCGAGACGAAGGAAGACGGATCGGCCGAAAAGAAACCCGAAACCGGCGATGAAAGGGAAAACAAGAAACAGCCCGTTGTTGACGATACAAGTAGCGAGCTGTCCGATGTGATAGACGAACCGCCTAAACCGAAGCGTAAGAAGAAGGAAGCCGGAGCTGGCAGCAAGGCGCCCAAGCAGAAGAGGGCGTCTGCAGTCTCAGACAACCCCGACGATGTCGAAATCAAGAAGCTGCAGTCTCATTTGGTCAAGTGCGGCATTCGTAAGATCTGGGGGTTCGAGTTGAAGCAATACGGAGACAACACAAAGGCCAAGATCAAGCACCTCAGAGACATGCTCCGGGACGTCGGCATGGACGGCCGCTTCTCAGAGGCCAAGGCCAAAGAGATCAAGGAGCGCAGAGAGCTTGAAGCGGATCTGGAGGCAGTTCAAGAGATGAACGCAAACTGGGGCGTTGGGGGCCGATCATCAAGGAGCAAGGCGCGCGGACAGCCGGCACCGGTAAAGGCTGTGGAAGATGACGCTTCCGAAGACGAGAAGGCCAAACAAAACGACAAGGATGACGACGAAGAGGAACAGGAGTCACACATCCCGTCACGCGCGCGGGGCAAGGCACGAGCAGACCTAGCATTCCTCGGAGACGACGACGAGGAGTCAGACTGATGTTATGACTACTGGAGGATATTGCAGTTTGTTCGCGGAGCATTTTTGTTTTGCTGATATGCACTTGGTGCAGGTTGTATTATATACCGTGGCGCGTAATGTCTTTTCCACCACCTGCGCCATTGCGGAATGTCGTCTGAAGCGATGCGACCAGGGGGGGTTGTCAATTGCTGGCAAACGATGCACTAGTACGGGACTGCAGTGGGTTTTCCGTCATACGGGACATGTTGGACGCACTAATTCATTAAGCCGTGACAGATAGCAGGTTTGATCTCGTTTTCCGTCTTACTCTGAAGAAGCGGGCTTCTAAAGTTGACGAGTATACGGATACATGTACCAAACCCCCGCACCCCGGAAGTCGAATGAGCTTCTCCAAAAGCTAGAGCCACGGAACAAAGTTGATTGTGTTTAAACGCACCAGTCAGACGACGACATGCCCGTTCAGGGGGCTGGAGTCGGGTCCTGCTTGTGGCGCTGTGGTGGGAAAACGAGGCGAAAGAGAGGGAAGCGTGGATTTCTGGGCAACCCAAGCTTCTCCGTCATTGTTTCTGCGTCTCCAATCTACCGTACCCCGCCGCGGGCGAGGAGTCCCCGCAGACGCTTTCATTTCCGGCACTGGTCCTCCCAATACCCACTATACCGGCCAACAAGCGCGCGAGTACAAGCTATAATAGCCTGAATTGCAAGCTTCACCACATCATCCAGTAACGGGAGAAGTTGTCGCGCCCCATAGGGCAACCATAAAGGAGCATAAGTTCTTCCCTCTCTTTCTCGCTCTGTCGGCGAGTTCCGTGACTTCAATCTCACCTAATCGTCGTGATTCTCCGCCTTGGGCTTCGTTTTCTTCTTTTTTGTGGTTCAACGTCTCATAATCACCCCCATCTAAGAGCCCAAACCCAACACCAAAAGACAGCTTCTCCTATCTACAATGGCCGACGCTCCCTTTGAGTTCTTGCCCCTGGGCGCCATTCTCCAGTCCTTCAAGGTCAAGGGCGTCAACATCGTTCAGGGCTTCCCGACCCAGGAGCTCTACGAGCAGCACAACTCGCCCTACTTCGGCGTCACCGTCGGCCGCGTCGCGAACCGCCTCGACTCGGCCCAAATCAAGTCGCTCAACGGCGGAAAGACATACAAGCTTGCCGCCAACGACGGCGACAACAACCTACACGGCGGTCTTAAGCCCTGGAGCTCCCTCGTTTGGGAGGGCCCCAAGCCCGTGGGCTTGCGCGATATCCCCGGCGTCGAGGGTCTCGAGGGTGGCGAGAGCGTCGAGTTCTCGCTCACCAGCCCCGATGGCGACGAGGGCTTCCCCGGCACCGTCAAGGCCAAGGTCGTCTACACGGCTGGCACCCAAAAGGTCGACGGCAAAGAGATTTCCGTCTTGGGCATGGAGTACGAGGCGCAGCTCGTCGACGGCGCCGACGAGACAGCTATTAACATGACGAACCACTCCTACTTCAATCTTACGGGCGACGAGACCTTCGCCGGCACCATCGCGACGCTGGCGACCAACGCGTACCTCCCCCGCGAGAACGGTATCCCCACGGGGGGGCCCGTGCCGTTTCCCGGTATCGAGGGCGGCAAGCCGTTCGAGCTGGGCGTCGACGGTCCCGAGGTGGACGACTGCTTCATCGTCACGGAGAAGCCCGGGTCGGTGCCCATTGACACGCGTAAGGAGACGCTGAAGCTGCACGTGCACGCGAGGCACCCCAAGAACGGGATCAACCTAGAGGTGCTCAGCACCGAGCCTGCGTTCCAGTTCTATACCGGTAAAGGCATCAACGTCCCGGCTGTCGAGGGTGCGCCGGCTCGTGGCAAGAGAAGCGGGTTCTGCGTCGAGCCCAGCCGGTGGGTGAACGCGATCAACGTCCCCGAGTGGAAAGACCAGATGCTATTGAAGAAGGGTGAGACATACGGTGCGCGTATCGTGTACAAGGCCTGGAGCGAGTAGGGAGGGGTAGTCGAGCTCAACCGGGGTGGAATGGTTCATGGAACAATGGGGTTTGAGTGATATAATGACGAATACAGATACCTGTTCCTCATGGAGCAATTGCACTGTTCCGAAGACCAAAGAGTACGTAGCCTCCCTTTGAAGAGCACACTCCATTCACTTTGTGTAAATCTGGTGAGGTGAATTACACTAAAGATGGGGCTTCCATCCCAGCGATCACATCAAGGTTGGGAAACTATATCAAGACCTCTTCCCCTCACCTTCTCTAACTAGGGTGATTAGTGTGTATGTTTTATGCAATCCATTTCTGCCATGTCTCTGTGAATCATGGAAGCGATCCGATTTGACTGAGCTACTGAAGTAAAAAGAAGGATGCAAGATGAGACGAGAACGAGCCCTGACCGGTCCGGTCAGTTCACTGAGGGGCTCTAGCTTCTGTAGGTCGTTTTGGCTTATCGCACCAGCACCACGGTATCGGCAGGCGCAGGTGCAGGGACACCTCTGCGGCTCTCTAAGTTTGTACTCCGTACCTACCATCCATCCATCCCTCAATGGAACTACCTACCTAAGAAACGACCACCCGAAATGTGTTAACTGCCGGTCCACCTAGGTACCTAGTTGCCCGCAGCCATGACTACCTATGCAACCATCTGACCAAACCGCTTTCCGGTCAACCTCTCGAAAAAAAAAAAACAGCACACTTCTTTCGCCCACCACGCACTTGCTACCATTCTCGATACATTCCAACTCATATCCATATACGAGCACGAAGGAACAGTCGTCGCCTTGTGTCGTCAGATCCGGTCTGCCGGGATCCAACCGAGTCAGGCGTCGCATAGAACCAAACCCTATAACCGCCGACGTCGGCATCTCACGCAGTCATGACTGAACCCTTCCCGACCCCAACAGCGACACCGAAACGCAAACGCGACGAGGACTTCCCGTTATCTCCGATATTTACCACCTCGAGTTTCTCCTTCCAGCTACCCGATGCCAAGAGCGACGATGAAGGAAGCGGGAGCCCACACAGCAAGGTCGTCCACAAGTTTCGTGGTTTGGCGTTGAATGGAGGAGGTGGTGGTGGGGGCGGGGTAGCCCAGCAACAGAAGCGAGATGGGCCATACGACCCTACGCGGGAAGACCGTCAAGGCGGGTACAACGACGACCCTTTCGCAAGCCGAAAGAGAGCCAAGGTCCCAGAGCTGGATATGAAGGACGCCGAAGCAGACGCGGCAGAACCAGTCGTCATTCCCGACCCGGAGATCAAGAGCGACCCTGTTCCTGCAGCCAAGTTCATGTCGGCTACCGTCGACACTGATACAACCGCCGAGGAGATTTTACAGCCTATAGCGATGACTGCCGCTGCCACAAACCTGCAACGCCCGCACTCCTTGATGGATCGACTACATGACTCCAAGTCTAAAGGACGAAGACGCGCCGGTACCCCGCCGCTGAAGGATCGCAAGGGCAAGGTCGCCCAGGCGCAAGACGAGGACCGGGAGATGAAGATCGTGGACCCAGTCCGGGCCGCACTGACGTGGAAGGAGGAGGAGATTACGATTTATGACCCCGAGGATGAGGACGACGACGGAACAGGAATTAATGGTGTTGGCTTCATGCCAACAGCCGCCATGGCTTATGCGCGAACGCAGAAGCGCCGGCTACAGCTTGCCGAGTACAAGAAGCGGGAAGAGAGCGAGGCTAGGGCCCGGCGCAACCAGCGCAGACGGGGCAGCGCCGCGGGCCTAGGCTCTGGTAACAGCAGTAGTGGCAGGGGTGGCGGCGTGCGAAAGGTCCGCTTCACAGAAGCAGAGCCTAACCCGGTTGTGACGAACGTATGAGCACAGCAGTTATGATGACATTTTTGGTGATTGGAACTGGGACATGGCGTATTCGCTGTCCCTTGTTATGTGTGGTCTGGCCTAAGGACGATCATAGGAGGCGTTGACTGGCGTTTGGGCACGGGCGTTCATAAAAGCAGGATTGAACCTATCTCAGCAGTCAAGATTATGGATGCATGCGGGTGACAAGTATGACAAGCTTCTGTTCTTTTTCTTTTTGCGCAGCAAAGTCGCAATGCGAACAAGTCAGCATGGGAGTCAAAGGGGCGACAGAACGATTCAAATAGTCTTTCTTTTATACCCCAGACTGGAATGGATAAAGATGATACAGGTCCCTCCCTAATACACAGAACCGTGACGTTTAAAGCTACTGATGCTTTTGTGAAACGGGACAAAATATTCATACACAGGGATGGATGCAGGCAGGCATCCTCAACAGCCTGCTCTAACAGATATTTCGGAAACAGGCAGCGACGTGTTTACCAGAACTTGTACCAAGCTTTCTGGCTCGCCTTGGCCGCCTCCTCGGCCTGCTGTTGCTGCTTCAGCTGCTCCAGCTCCCGGCGCCTCTTCTCCGCCATGGTCTCCTGGTAGACCTCGACCGTCCTCTTCATCTTGATGCGCTCCTGCCGCCGCAGATACTGGCAGTACTCGTATTGCCCAGCACTGCCCGCCACAAAACTGTACACAGCCCAGTTTGCCGCTTTGCTGGGTGAACCTAGGGGGCGTGTGTAAGTTGAGATGGCGTTGCCATGCTTGAAAGTGGAATCGTTGGAGTGGAAAAGGGAGGGGGGACTAAAAGGGAGAGAGGGTAAAAGGGGTCGGCTATTCATAAATGAGGAAACTTTGGAAAGGCAAATAGAAGTAGCGACTCACCCCTCATAACCATTCTCAAGCCTCCGACGGCCGCACCGACAACGATGCCGGCGGTGAGACCATCGCGGGCGCACGGCGTCCGGAAGACGTCGAGGAAGTCGGACCACTGGATCGTCTTGATGGCCTCGCTGATGGACGGATAACCCGTCTGGGCGTTGCGTTCTTGGGGCGGGAAGTTGCTCTGGAACTCAGTCGGGTTCAGCTTCTTCTGATGCTGCTCCGAAATCGCCGGCGGTGCCCCGGCCGCCGCCGCTGCGGCAGTCGTGGTATCCGAACCCGGCGCTCCCTCTCCGACGTGTCCCTGGTTGGACCGGGACCAGAGGTACAGTTTCTGTCCATCCCTTTTAGGCGCTGCTGCAGCTGCCGCAGCGGCAGCGTTATCTGTTGGATCCTGCGCCATTTATGTGCTCTGTGTGTGCGAGTCTTGGGCGCATCCGGTGAGAGTTTTGGCTCGTGTCCAATTGTCGGCTTCAAGTCATGGCTCGACCACACCCCCCAATGAGAGCTTCACTCAAAAATCTGCCCGTGGCCTGAGATGACATGACGTCCACCGAATTCGTTCCGTTGCTGGGCCGGGCGCATGGTCTGTGCGTGCATATACCCACTATCTGGGTAGTGTACACAGGTGACGGGTGCCCTGCGCGAGGGATGTTGGTTAATTGATGTGGGTCAACCTTCACTACGGAAAGCGTGCATTTGTCGCGTAAAGTCGCGCCCGGGACGCGTCGGTTCTGCTTGTGTCTGCTGCCCGCCCCCGTTGCTAGACCCGCGATTCTACTGTAAAGATTGCACTGCACCCCGGGGCAACCTATTACTCTCCTACCCAAGTTGATCAAATCCCGCCCTCCCACTCGCCCAATTTCTCGTGGTCGATACCCGCCAATTTTGCTTTCTGTCTCTTCTGTTTTGTACAGCAGACCTTCTCTTTTGCTGACAGAATTCTTTGATACCCACCAAAGCCGGCCTCGACAAACCCCCTGTTGCAGACCTAGGCATTTCTTCAATACTCTTTCGTCTTATGACTCTCTAGATACAACTCGATCCCTCGAGAGTCCCCTGTCGCCAGAGTCCCTCGACGGGCATCCACCTCACCAACGACGACTTCTCTACCCGGCCGCCACACACCCCGAGCTAGGCGACATTCACAGACCAAACAATGCCCAACACAAGTTTGCGGCGTCCGCAAAAGGGCTACCGCCGCGGCGGGAAGCAGGCCTACCATGGCCCCAGCCGCACAGCTCGCACTTTCGCCGCCTCGAGCCGCGCCGAAGCGACCTCTGCCGACGAGAAGTGGGAGCGCACGCGGCTGGCGCAAGCCATCGATGAAAACATGGGCTTCGCGCGCTACGAGGGCGGCAAGCGCAAGGAGGGGTGGCTCGTCAATGTGCAGCCGACTTCGGTTGAGGACGACCGGATACCAGGCGGCCGCGCGGCGCTCGACTGCTACTTCATCGAGGACGACGGGTCGCACTTCAAGGCCACGGTCGAGTACGATCCCTACTTCCTCATCGCCGTCAAGAAGGGCCGCGAGAGCGAGGTCGAGGAGTGGCTGAAGCGCGTGCCCGGCGATGGCGTCGTCAAGACGATCAAGAGGGTCGAGAAGGAGGACCTGAAGATGCCGAACCACCTGATGGGCTACCGCCGGACCTTCCTCGAGCTCAGGTTCGCCAACGTCAACGACCTGATGGCAGCGAGGAAAGACATAATGCCCATTGCGGCCAAAAACAGGAAGAATGTGGATGCATTGGACGCATACGCCGAGGTCCAAACGTGAGTCTAGCGATTTACACGGTGTAGTTGGAGAGAGAATAGCTGATCCTGACCCTCGGCCAGAACAAACGGCGACTTTGACCTTTTTGACGACTCACGAGATGACGATAGACGAGCCAATGCTTCTTTTGCCGACGCCAGCGACTTCATTGTCGATATTAGAGAGTACGATGTACCGTACCATGTAAGAGTAATGATAGATATGGGTACGTCTGACCCGCGGGAGCGAGTTAGGTAGGCCGCAGCTGACCATTGCAGACATCCGGGTGGGGAAATGGTATTTCATCGACGTCAAGCACGGCGTCACCAAAGTGACAATCAACGAGGACCGGCTGGCCATGGCGGACCCCGTAGTCATGGCCTACGATATCGAGACAACAAAACTGCCCCTCAAGTTCCCCGACGCCGCCATCGATCAGGTCATGATGATTTCGTACATGATTGATGGGCAGGGTTTCCTCATCACCAACAGAGAGATCGTCTCGGAAGACATTTCTGACTTCGATTACACCCCCAAGCCCGAATACCCCGGCTCCTTCATGATTTTCAACGAGCCGGACGAGAAGGCAGTCCTCGAAAGGTTCTTCCTACACATAAAGGAGGCGAGACCTACGGTTATCGCGACATACAACGGTGACTTTTTCGATTGGCCCTTTGTCGATGCCCGCGCTAGTGTCAACGGCATCGACATGTATCAGGAGATTGGCTGGAAGAAGGACAACGAGGACCAGTACAAGTGCAGCTACAGCGTGCACATGGACTGCTTCCACTGGGTGAACCGTGACTCGTATCTGCCTCAAGGATCTCGAGGCTTAAAGGCCGTCACAGTGGCCAAGCTTGGATACGACCCTGACGAGCTCGACCCTGAATTGATGACGCCCTATGCCGCAGAACGCCCGCAGACTCTGGCCGAGTATTCAGTCTCCGATGCCGTGGCGACGTACTACCTGTACATGAAATATGTCCACCCGTTCATCTTCTCTCTCTGTACGATTCTGCCCCTGGGCGGCGACGATACGTTGCGAAAGGGTACGGGCACCCTTTGCGAGATGTTGTTGATGGTTCAGGCTTACCAGAAGGAGATCGTGCTACCCAACAAACACGTCTCGCCGAGGGAAGCATTTTATGATGGCCACTTGCTCGACTCCGAAACGTATGTTGGTGGCCACGTCGAGAGTATCGAAGCGGGCGTCTTCCGTGCAGATATCCCTGTCAACTTTGCAGTTGATACGGGTGCAGTGGACGAGCTATTGACGGATCTAGACGCCGCCCTCAAGTTCAGTATCACGGTGGAAGAGCAGAAGTCAATGGACGACATTGAGAACTACGACGAGATCAGAGAGCAAATTGCTTCACGGTTGCGCGCTCTCAAAGAGACGCCGAACCGCAGTGAGCGGCCTCTCATTTATCATCTCGACGTCGCATCCATGTACCCCAACATCATGACGACAAATCGACTGCAACCCGACTCCATGATTCAGGAGTCGGATTGCGCGGCATGCGACTTCAACCGACCTGGAAAGACATGCGACAGACGACTACCTTGGGCGTGGAGAGGAGAGTACTTGCCGGCGAAGCGTGACGAGTACAACATGATCAGGAATGCGCTCGAGAACGAAAAGTTTCCGGGCAAGTGGCCAAACTCTCCGCAGCGGACGTTCCAGGACCTGTCCCCGGACGAGCAGACGGCTCTGCTGAGGAAGCGGTTGCAGATCTTTTCGCAAAAGGTCTACCACAAGATCCACGACTCTACCACGATCGTCAAGGAGGCCATCATCTGCCAGCGTGAGAATCCGTTTTACATCAACACCGTCCGAGATTTCCGTGATCGTCGATACGACTACAAAGGCAAGGCCAAAGTCTGGAAGGGAAAGACGGAGGCTCTCAAGCAATCCGGCGCGACGTCTTCCGAAGTCGACGCGGCGAAAAAAATGATCATTCTCTTCGACTCGCTGCAGCTTGCCCACAAGGTCATTCTGAACTCGTTCTACGGCTATGTCATGAGAAAGGGATCGCGTTGGTACTCCATGGAAATGGCCGGCGTGACCTGTCTGACGGGAGCGACGATCATCCAGCTGGCCAGATCGCTTGTTGAGCGCCTTGGTCGTCCCTTGGAACTGGACACCGACGGTATTTGGTGCATGCTTCCAGCCACATTTCCCGAAAACTTTGCTTTTAAGATGAAGAATGGCAAGAAGGTTACCATCTCGTACCCTTGTACTATGTTGAACCATCTGGTACACGCCAAGTTCACTAACCACCAGTATCAAACACTCGTGGATCCCAAGACGCTCAAGTACGAGACTCACAGCGATAACTCCATCTTCTTCGAAGTTGACGGTCCCTACAAGGCCATGGTTCTGCCTACGTCCAAAGAGGAGGACAAGAACTTGAAGAAGCGTTATGCTGTTTTCAACGATGACGGCAGTCTGGCTGAGTTGAAGGGTTTTGAGGTGAAGCGCCGAGGCGAGTTGAAGCTCATCAAGATCTTCCAACAGCAAATCTTCAAGTTCTTCCTCGAGGGAGAAACCCTCGCAGAGTGCTATGCTGCTGTTGCCAAGGTTGCCAACCAGTGGTTGGACGTCTTGCATGGCAAGGGCTCGACACTGGCCGACGAGGAGCTCATGGAGCTCATTTCAGAGAACAGAAGTATGTCCAAAACCTTGGAGGAGTACGGCTCGCAGAAGTCGACATCCATCACTACGGCCAAACGTTTGGCGGACTTCTTGGGTGAGCAGATGGTGAAAGACAAGGGCCTCAACTGCAAGTTCATCATCTGCGCAAGGCCAAAGAACGCGCCCGTCACCGAAAGAGCCGTGCCTGTCGCCATCTTTTCGGCTGAAGAGACGACGAAGCGCTTCTACCTCAAGAAGTGGTTGAAGGAGGAGCCCGCCGACACCGACCCCAGAGCTCTCCTGGACTGGGACTACTACCTCGAGCGTCTGGGATCCGTCATCCAGAAACTCATCACTATCCCGGCCGCGCTCCAGAAGGTCAGGAACCCCGTGCCTCGCGTTCCCCACCCCGACTGGCTCCAGCGCAGAATCAACATCAAGGATGACAAGATGAAGCAGAAGAAGCTCACGGATCTATTCACCAAGGGCCCCCTGGAAGACATCACTAATCTCAACGGTCGCTCCGCTGCCGATATGGAGGACTTTGGCAGTCAACTTCTCAAGCCGAAGCAGGTAACTTCTGTTGTGGCTTCGTCACAGGCCGCGGCTCCCACTTCCCAGAAGCGGAAATCTCCTGAGCCTGCCGAGAACGCTGATCCCTTCGCTGCCCTTCCCAAAGAAATGCCCTCGCCTTCAGACGACTATGTCGGTTTTCTACAATATCAGAAGCAGAAGTGGAAGATCCAGAAGCAGGCACGCATCCGCCGACGACAGCTTTTCGGTGACCGACGGGGCAACAACCAGAACAACATTCAGAACACATTCATGAAACAGGCTCACTTAACCTTCATGAGCACCTGGCAGTTGTTGCATCTGAAGCCTACAGACACACCCGGCATTGTCAATGCTCATGTTCTCATCGACGCGAAGATCCACTCGCTCAAGATCAAGGTCCCACGACAGGTGTTCTTGAATCTGAAGAGCGGGGATATGCCAGATGTCGACATCCCAGGATGTGAGGTTGAGCAGGTCAACCACACGCTACCCAACGGGCATTCTTCTGTTCACCTCTTCAAGCTAACCATCCCCGAGGATGTTTACTTCAGCGAAGCCGATAAATTCTCGCTATTGTTCAATCACCCGAGTGTCGAGGGT